CTCGGGAAGGTGGAGGAGCTCAATGCAAACGACAGCCTGGAGGTCAAAATCATACGGCCAAACGAGGATGATATCATTGATGACAACGAATATCGTACCCACCTGGATATCGTGTTTTTTCCGAGGAATTAGATTGATATATTCTAATCATAAATATCAATCTGTCGAGATGTGGGAAAGCTGGCAGAAAGTACTCTTCTCTTGTTACAACACAGACCTCTGTCTTTGCTTTTGTATCACCAGACCCAAACTCAGCTCTGTTACTATAGAAAGAATATGAAGTATACCATTTGTATTTTTGTAATTTAATAGATTAGACCATGAAGCATAATTGTCATTGCTTTACCAATAGCAAAAACTCCTTCACTGACTAAACATTTCCTCCTTGATCACCAAGGAGGAAATGTTTAGTCAGTGAAGGAGTTTTTATCAACTTCATTGTCCCCCCCCTTTTAGGAGTTTCTAATATCTAAAATGTGTAGTAGTTTAAAGCAACTTTTTATTCTTAATCTCCACTGGCTGGACTTTGTTATTTGCACCACAGCTTTTATTTGCGACTTGCTGATTTTTATTTCTTGATATGTTTTGAACTATTATATATTTATGTTGAATTTATTTATTGTTTTGACCTTAAATATATACGATATTCTATATTTAACACAATTCCATGGGCTTCCGTCAACAATTAACCAATGAATGCATGTCACTGTGTGGCTAAGTATGTCATTTGTGTGGCATGCATATATTGTTAGTGAGTCACTGGAATGTATGACATTGTTTTCGTTGTTAATAATTGAACTAATAAAGCTACAATAATACAAACTTCACATGGCCTGGAAGTGCCATGATAACTTTTGTCATTTAAAAATTACGACATGGTATTTAAAAAAATACCATTTTATAATCTGTAGTTGAAAGAAATGAACGTGTTACCTGGTAATGTAAAAACAAGAACCACCTTTATGTACTTTTTCATTCTATTTTCATGGTCTGAAAAATGAAAACAGAAAAGACCAAAAATAAACTCCAAATCTCCTCCTACCTGTATCACACAATATGACATGTGAAATCACGACTGGTAGTGGTTTATGGGGAAAGTTTCAGAGAATTTCTCGGTTTTGTCAAAGATTTGCAGGTATTATTAATGCAACATGTAACTGGTTGCACTCCGGAGGTGTGTGGACATCAGTTTCATCACCCTGTACTTAAATTGCTGCAAACTTTTTAATAAAAATATATATTTTCATTACACTGTTGTATGTACAGAAGTCAATTATAACTTGATGTGTTTAAACGCCCCAACATGGAGCAAAACACAATCACAAGGATGATTTAGTGATTTTGCCTGTGACTCATTTTCAAGACCCCAGATATAAAGTGAAAGTGAGAGGTCATTAGTTAAGAGTGGGACCCAGTCAATAAGAGAGAGGGATGTGTGTGCTGTCGAAGAATATTGCCTTCTGGGTGACTTGGCATAGAAAAAAACATTACGCCTCAAACAAACATCCAATATTATATCTGATAGACATCACAACAAAAGAGATACACAAAATGTCAATGGAACATGACGATAGTCATCAAGTCTGTGCCAAGACACATTTTCCAAGCTACTGAGGTTTTCATCTGAAAAAGGAGTCCCACATCTGTATTAGCTGTTGCTACCACAGCTTTCGATTACCGGGGAGTTGAGATGTTGAATTACATTTACATAACAGTCTCATATAGCACCCACTCTGTCTTGTTTATTAGAATAATTGTCATGGGTTTGCTTTGTTCCCACATTTGCTTTCCACTGCCCGATGCTCAAGCAGACGTAGAAGAGTTGTCTATCCACATATAAGTATAACTGTGCGGCAGCTTCTGTAAAAACCATCATTTTTTTTTATAGAGAACAACATCATAAATACAACAACTTTATTTTAACCTTGCTCAAAATTGGCCTTATTTTCAAATTCAATCATTTATGTATACAGCCCCATAGCAAAGAATTACACATGTGTCTGGGGGCTTTACAGACTGTAAGAAATCCCCAACAGAAACACCACAATAAACAGGGAGAACAAAAATGGAAGAACCCAAAGGGAGGTTACTGTTTTATTTCTGATCTACAGACCAACACAAGGGGACAGTATTTACCTGTTTTGCTCTGCTGTGTACCTTGAACACCTTTCCGTTTTCAGAAAAGTTGCTCTATGCATCACACATTGTTCGGTGTGGAAACAAGTCATCTATGTTACGGATAAGTAGAGGTGGTTTTCCAAGCAAATTGTGAAACATTTTTGATGATTTCTTAACATATTGATATCCCACAAACCTTCGTTATGATAAGTTTGAGATCATAGGCACATAACGAGTGATGTCATCCCACACACATTCTACCTAAAAGTCATGTCTAGACCAAATGAAAGAAAACTAAACTGCTTAATTCCCAACCACATCTGACGCAACTCCCCCTCCTTTGGTCCTACACAGGCTCTCACACCTCACAGGTCAGCCAGCGCTGGAATATAATCACTCACACATGCATTGAGAAGCATTCATGAAATGAGACTGTACAACAAGTCGAAGCCGAGGCCACCCATGACTTGACCAATAATATTTTTATAGCACTGTAAGTAGTCTACAGTAAGTGTATTACCGAATAGAACCAAACTGTACTGTACATGCCTGAGGGGAAATTCATTTGGGTTCACCTAACCCACACACACACACACACACACACACACACACACACACACACACACACACACACACACACACACACACACACACACACACACACACACACACACACACACACACACACACACAGGTTCTGGGGTTGGAAAGTGAGTCAGGCAATCTGTTCCCCCTCACCCTACCAAATTCCCCCCACCTGGCCCTACAACCACTTCCGCTTCAGTTTACAAATACACAACTCTGTGGGTGTTTCAAGAGCAGCTTCTTCGAACAGACACAGCTGAAGGGAATGTGTAACTGTATGAGAGATACAAAAAGAGATTGAAAAAAAACTAAACATTTCCGAGAGTGATGAAGCCTTTTGTTAGCACAAGGCATGTCAGCATGAAAAGGATCCTCATTGGCCTTACATTAGATAAGTGTGCTGATCTGAAAGTGAAGTACAGTATACACAAACACTTGGGTAACCTTTGAAATCTTCAAGGGGAATGTAGGATTCTACTTTGAGGGTAGTTTGCAGCCTGCGTTACTCCGAACACAAGGGATATATTAGTATCTTAGTTGTTTCTGTTTCATTTACTTTACTTATTGGATTGAAATAAGAGATGAGGTACATTGCAAGCTGCTAAACTCAAGCACAGTCATATCTGTCATAATGTTGGACTGATGAAGCATTATTACAGCATGAACACATTCTGGTTGAAGGTGGATGACACAGTTATGTGTCATTGTGCTATTTAAAAAAATACTTTCTCCACAGTATGAGTCGTGTGGTTGAACTGAGTGGGGGGAAACTGTTGATACTGAAGACAGCAAGGCTCCACCACAGGAAGTTCAACTCGCTACATGATGGCCTCAGTAAAGACTCAAAACATTTTAAATCATTATCTCTTTATTGTTGTTTACATAATTTGACATATATAGGGCAGAAAATAAGAAATGATCTCAATCAAATAACCACTGAAGGGATGAATAATAGTCAGGGCTGCACATAACTGGTGCGCAGGTGCGCGAGTTGCATATGAACCATGATATGAACTCAGGGCCGGCCCGTAGCGCTGGCTCGATGTTCGCTAGGCCCTAAGGCGCCAGATCTGGGGAGGTGCTGCGCTGGCAGTTCTGGGAGGGAAAAAAACATTTTGACCGTTGGGGCTCATCCTTGGGGGCCTTGATGTAACAATATTCATAATTAAGTAAATGTAACACCCTTTTCACCCCGGTTCCACCTTTCATTTGCCCTGTACGATGGGCGCTGTAAGTGATGAAAATGGGGGATGTTGGCTTATCTGGCGCCCGCAGCTCACAGCCAAAATGCGAGTGAGCGAGGGAGAGAGGGAGGGTGCACCGGTACCAGCGCTGTTGTTATTATAATCTGGTGCCGTGCTAGCTGCTCTAACGGATATAAGAAGAAGATGTTTCTACAATAATGTGGAGGGAGAGTCCTCTCCAGTCAGACTGAGAGACTGATAAGTTAACTACAGCTCAGTGAGGTAAAGGACTCTTAGTCTAAGTTCAAACGGTTTGGTCACAATTTATGTAAACACATATTTCCAAGGCACTCCTTTATAATTATTGGGATAAACAGGTTTTAAATCATTCCAATGTATACTATAGGACAGTAACCAAAAATATCCTTTAAAACTGGAGAGATAAAAAAAAAATGCATAAATAAATAAATGTTAAGGTAAAATAAGATATGAATGAACAACACAAATAAAATAAGTTACATTAATTTGTTATTGGCTATGGTAGGCTATTGGTTATGTTCACATACTTATTTGATTACATCCACTTGTCTAAGATGACAACAGAGACTTTCGACCCAAAACCAGCTGTTGACTTGTGGATGCAAGCAGCTAATCGCAGACTCAACCAGAGAGAAAGTAGTAGGCCTACATCATCAGCTACCATGTCTGGCAGAGAGGAAGACAGTGAGGAGAACAGTCAGGAGGGTAGTGATGACAGCTTGTAGGATTACTGGTCGTGCTAATGTTGTCTTGTGTTCACCTCTGCATGTGTGTTCTGTGTTCACCTCTGCATGTGTGTTCAGTGCCGTGTGTCTGGCAAATAAAGTCAAGACCCCCTCAAAAGTTACGGTTTATTTCATTTTAAGGATGAGCACCAAGCAACATCTCCAGGTGCTCCTTTGAGAACCAGGGCAAAAAAGTTATGTGCACCCCTGATAATAGTGTGCATTATGTTACAGCAAGAACGGAATTCATTTCTGAGGAGACAGTTTCTATTTTTTTTATTTCAGCATTAACTTGACAAATACACTACATTTATATTCAGCAAAAATAAGAACAACAGTAACACTTTAAAATGTTTGAATGTTTTATTTCTTTATTTTTTTATCTATGACATCCAAGTCATTTGGTAACATTCAGACGATTACATTTGAAGTAAATATAAAATAAGCATAACATAAGCATATAAAAAATCTCTGATAAGAAAATAATTTTGAATCATATTCACGCATAAAAATAAAACAGCTTCAACCCCCAGTACGGAAACCAGCACAGTCCTGACCCTTGTAACACTCAAAAAGGCACACAAATCTTTCTGCTATCGACCTTCTATTTCCTTACAAAGAGAATCATTAATCCATGGTGAGATATCAATGTGATATTTATATCATGTATGCACCGAAGACATTCTCAATGGATTTGTGTTTCACAACATTTGCGGTATTGCTCACTTCTACATAAATGGCGTCATTTTTGGTGAGGTGAAACACTCCACCGAGATAACTGTTGGATCGTCTTCTCTTGGGCCTCTCGTTTTGTTTGGACAACAGGAGGGGAATACTTTTCCCAGAATACAGTTCGGTATTCCGATGAATAGAGTGGTTAAAATAATCAGTGTCGAAGAAGGAAACCTTGGAATAGATATAGTAATACCCTTCTTTCTGAATGATTAGACTCATGTCTCTGTAGTCCATTTCATGCAGGAGAGGGTCTGCCTCCATGCTCCATGCCATGATAGTCTTTCCATGGACTGCATCTAATCCATCTGGGTAAAAACAGCAACAACGTGAAGTCTGATTCTTTATTTGATTCATATAATGTCCTTAAAATGTATCGATTATTTTAAACAGGTGGTTTGAAACTATGAATACGTTTTGAAATGCAAAAGCACTGAGAAAATATGCATCTTTCTTCTGCCTTGTTTATAAATTGCAAAATCCACACTGGTCTCACCTGTCAGATGTGCAACCGGTTTGGAAGGAGGAATGATAAGACTGGGAATTTCAGTAGTAGAGGTATCGTCTTGACCTGTGCGAGGAAAATACATAATGTCACTCATGTGGATTAAGTTACTGTAGTGAGATCTCTCTGTTGAGGTAAAAGTGCTAAAACATACCTGCAATCTGCCTAGAGAACGATGCTGAGGTCTCCTGCAATGTAAATACAAATGTGTTACCTCTCAGTTGTGTGTGCATACTTGTTGTCTATTGTGAGCAGATGCAATCACTGTTGTGATAATACATTGAGAAAAATGGCTATCTCGCTGAAGCATGCATTTTGAATTTTGTTAAAGGGTTCCTTTTCGTGTTTGTATGTTGTTGTCACAGCAAAGTAGGACAGGTCTGTATTTCTGGTAAAATAGACCACAATCATGCTACAGGAAATAGACCACTTCTTTTCCATTGTCCCTTGTTACGCTTTATAATCTCTAACCACTACTGATTTAATGATAAAAAATACTTGCCATGCACCCGGGGATCGCTGCCCACAAGCAGGTCTTAAGACGAGGACAGGAAACTGAGCCACTCAGTTAAAACACATACTAACCACCATCACGGGACATCAAGACCACATGCCCCTGTCAAGCATGGACGTCAATGTTTTTCTCATAACTGAACCGGACTTCTCCATCTTTACTCTCTTCCCCATAATAGTGAAATTATTGCACCGTCAGCAGTTTTGGGAGACAAAAAATCATCATTCATATGATTGGAGGAAAGGTCAGTTCTGTTTCTATCATGACAGTCCTTCAATTCACTATTTATAAGAGCCCTACACTCAACTATTGTTAAAGGAAAATGTTTGTATAGAAACAAAAAATCTCACCATAACTCCATCATGACACTATGGGAATATATTGAATCAGAAATTGACTATTGGAAGGGTGGAAGTTTCCACTTTGGTTATGGCAGGCCTATGAGACCAAAGCAGGCGGTTTCCTATGCGTAGCATGTGACTCTCTGGCATGCATTTATAAAACAAAAAGCTGTGAACGATGGTGATCGTCCAACTTAATTAATAAAACTCCCAATGGATAGAGAGTCACACTTTCTCGTCATTAACACATGAAGAGTGTATCTTTATGTTTTTGTTTTCTATTGTACAAACTGTAAAGTGACAAACATACTATGTGTGATATTTGGCTATTTAAATAAACTTTGATTGATTGATTGATTATGATATTTCATGATGCCGTTTTATGTTAATGTTTGTATTTTGTAATGCTTTTCAAACGTTTTTAGCCTTAAAAATGCATTCAATTCCATTCATATTCAATTCATTCAAGTAATTCAATGTGTGCTTAAAAAAACTAGAGTGCAAATATACGGAAGTATTTCAAGAAAATCAAAAAGTTTCCAAGTTTTTTTGTGTCATTGACAAAAACCCAACAAAATGGTTTAAGGCTGACGGAGAGCAAGTCAGAGAAAACGGAAAGTATAAAAAGGTGTTGAAGCTGAATGAGATTTTAAAGACATATTCAGAGGGATTTGGACTCAGAGATGGCGTTGATACTCACAGTTTTAGCAGGTTGGTAGAGGTGGTAGATGAAGCAGGCTTCAATGGCCATGCCGCACAAGGCCAGGCTCACCAGCAGGATCAGCAGGTTCTGCACCCTGTCGCCCCGTCGCCCCTTCTGGCTCAGCCTGGGTGGCACTGGAGGCCGAGTGGCATGGGTGTCCACCACATACACAGAGGGATATCCAGCCGTGGACATACCTATCGTGCTCACTCTGTGACTGAAAGACGCTTCTGTGTGGAGATGTCCCCTAGAAGTTGTCAGAGGGTGTTGCTTCAAAGAGTGTTACACTTGAGAGACAGAGAGAGGTGATAGAGAGCTAAATGGGTGGGCTCACTTGTGGTTGGTTAAAATGGAGAGGCTCACTTGTAGTCAGACAAAGAAAAACCTTTGCCTTGTTGCAGAGGATGCAGAATAGTTTTTAGGCATAAGCATGTACAAAGAGAAACAATATTTTAAATACCACCATCAGACTCAGACAGTCGGGGAAGGTTTAGAGTAGACCATGTATGACTCTTAGATTACATTACATTACATTTCTTTTAGCTGACACTTTTATCCAAAGCGACTTACAATATGTGCAAAAACCATAAAGAATCAAACTCCCAACAAAAACGAAAGTGCAGATATATTCAATTCAAGCAAAGTCATAGTAGGACTAAGTGCTGGTGAATCAGTTACAAGGCCTACATTAACTCAACAAGTGTTTTTTGGAGTGGTTTCTCTATATCTTCTTTTCTTTTTAGATTAAGTATGAGAATGTGAATTGCAACATACTCAATTATCTGCGAATTGTTTGCTTACTCATACCAAATTATTCTCAAGGCTTCAGTGATGTTAAAACTGTGTGGTCAGCTGTTCCTCTTGTTATACTCATGGCTCCCTCTACAGAATATAAGAGGACAAGACAAGTGTACAACCTACATAAATACACAAATACAACATTTGTTAAAAGAAACAAAAATAATGTAGAGATTTTTGGGGTCAAACGGAATTCAGTACAAGAAATATTACATGTTGACCTTCTCTAATAGTACAGGCCTTCATACTCCAGGCATCACCATGCTCCAAGCACACCATGCACTCTTATAGTGTGCGTGGTGTTTAGTGTAGTGTACTGCACCTTGTCACTCCATCTCAGTTTTGCATGCAGTCACTCCAGACTACAAAGCGACACAGATAGTGGCTCCACTCATTCAGCTCCGACCAAGGAACTTTACTGAGAGGCTTTTTTACAACCATGGGAGTATGATAGTCAGAACATCTACAGTAAAGTGGCTTTATTGTACATGTGTGGAGTTGGTGAACCTGGATTTAATAGACTATGGGCTGTGAGTGGAGGATGATGTCTGCAGGGCTCTGTTTGCTGACAAGTTTGATTCTGACTGTAGATTTAACTTTGGGTTTTGGGCCAAACAAAGACATGCAATTCACATTTCTATTATCTGCTGGCAGCACAGAGTGTTTTTACCAAACAACGGCAAGGAGCGACAGCATGGAAGTTGGATACCAGGTAAATATAATATCCTCTCTATCTTCCTGCCATTGTGTCTGGCACAGTGGTGGTGTAATGTTGTATGTTACGTTTTGAATAGCTTTATTAAAGTTTGTGAATAATGTCTTCCTGAACAACAAGCGAAGAAGCCTTGGACTTTGATCTTGAATGCAGAGAGATAAGAAATAGCTGCTGCTGTTGTTGAAGACAGATAAGGAAGAGGTGAAGAGGTAGAAAAGTCAGAATGATGCCCCTGCCTCTCCACACACTACAGAAAACAAGCCTCCTGAACAAGCACAGACATGCTTTTACATGATGCCTACATGATAAATATATAGCCACAATAATAAGATTTAAAATGCTGTATACAAATATGTGCAGCGAGGGTTGCATCTGTTGAACATACTAAACATGGCTTCATAGTAAAAATGTCCTCATGTTATGACCTCAGTCATTTTAGGGCCCTGACCTTTATGTTGCTTCACACCACAGTCATCATACCACTGCTGCACCCTCTTCAGCTGCAGGACTGTAGTGGTGTAAAGGGCCAGGCCTGTCAGAATGATCTTCACCTGAAGAGTTCACACAGTGTTGATGTTGAGCTCTTTTTAACATTCAGCTGCTCTTTATAAACTTTCAATCTACAGTTACAACTTAATGCATCAGAATCCGAATGAAGTTTATTGACAGATACGTTTACACATATAAGGAATTTGCTTTGGTGCCTGGTGGAAAATAGTCTTACAGTCATTGGTGCATGATATGGCGCAGTGCTATGACATCATTTACAACATTTTGAAGCCAAAACAATGAAACCCTGGCAGGACCTTTGAACTTTGTATGAGCTCTTTTTAACTAGAGGTAAAAAAGCAGGCAGTAGTAGGCTGCAAAAAAGAGGATTTGCCTACACAAATACCTAAGCATCATTATCAGTGTGGCATAATGTGAGCTTTGTTGTTGCTCAGTGTACAACGAGGGCCTTCATTTGAATATAACATTGCAGTTCCTCAGCTAGTGTGATGAAAAGCTGTCCTGCATGGCTGAGCTCAACCTCCACTGTTTCTTTCAAAGGTGATAGCCGGGTCAGGGCTGGATGTCGGCTTTGCCCTCATCTCCCCCACCGGATACCGGCTGGTGTCTGACTTCAGGAGGTCTGATGGCATTCACATGTGGGTAACTTAAACGCTCTCAAACAACCACTTGCCTTTGATATGATGCTCAATCCCTGTAATAATCTTTCAATCAAGAGTTAATTCTGCCAAATTCATAAAAAAGAGGACTTGATTTCCTACTATTTTTGGTATTAAAGCAAATAGTTTAAAAGTAATCTATTATGCAACATCCACTTTTTCATGTCTTTTATACATCAACATGTGTCCCCTCTGTGTAAAGAGATTCTGAAAGTTTCAGGAAAAAAGATTAGCTCACTTTTTGTCCTGATCCATTTCTATAAAAACCTGTCGATCAGATTTTGGCCACTTTATGATGTCATAACGATTTTTTGGCTTGTGTAACCATTAGCCAATAACCAACCAAGGTAACCCCGGCCCACTTTATCACCTGAATCTCCTCCTAGAGCACCATTGTGTTCTTTTTAACCAAATATCTCTCAGAGGGGCGTGGGGAGTGGCTCCTTATTTTCATCTAAAGTAACAGACAGAGAATCAGCACTTTTGAAACAGGGCTGAAACAGAGGGGTTTGGGATGCTACAATGCATGATCTGTTTGGTATTTGGAGCCAAAGATATGTTTTGTATATATCTGAGACCTATAATATATTGATGAAAAACAGTATAATAGGGGACCTTTAAACTCTGATATTGTTGAGAGCAAATGTCACTTTCCAAATTGACACCTTTTTGTTTCCTTCAGGGTGGATTCCACAGAGGATGGAGACTACCGGTTGTGTTTCGACAACAGCTTCAGTAAACTCTCAGAGAAGATGGTGTTCTTTGAGGTGAACATTAACAGTGAGAGCAGTTCAGTTGGAGGCTCAAAAGAGTGGGAGAACATGGCCATAACAGAGAGCATGGGGGAGTACAACATGGAGGACATCAGGGTGAGCAAGAAAAACTTAAAGCTATGCATGTGCTTCAGAAGCTCTGAGAGGCAATTCAGGAGAAAAATCTGATATAAACTTACATTTTCTTTTAAATTCCTTATTTTTGAAATGTGTGAAGCAGGTGAAAAGGGAAGTTACAGGTGTTGTAGAAATACTCAACTGTAATAAAAAAAACAATACATATATAACAATGTATTTGAGTCCAGTTAAGAACATGGGGGTGGTGCATTTCAGCCTCTTGTGACCAAAATGATGTTTTCCACAACTGATACAAAAAATATCCTGGCAACACCCTTCCCCCGTCTAGATAAACACATCTGAAGAAAGATTATCCTAGCAAAACCTCTGTTAATCTATTCTTGATTATAAACACCGAAGATATGTTTTTATCTCAGATGGATCACAGTATTTGTTTCTGAATTGCCTCTCAGTGGTGTTATACATCTTCAGATATCACTTGAATGATCAGATGTTATTCTGTTTTAAGTCCACACAGAGGCACTGACTTCCTCCCCCTTATCCTCTGTTCCTCCTGTCCCAGGCTCAGATGGACTCTGTGTACCAGCACCTGGAGAGGAGCCGTCAGATCCTGGCTGTGCTGCGGGCCCTAGAGGCGAGGGACCGCTACCTGCTGGAGGACAACCTGTGGAGGGTGTCCTTCTGGTCCTGCCTCAGCCTGCTGGTCATGCTCGTTGTCGCTGTCACTCAGATTTACACCCTGAAACGCCTGTTTGATGACACCAAGCGGGTGTGCACATAGCCGCAACAAAGCTGAGGCTCACAGTGCAAAGTTTGACCCCAAGACCTTATCTGACATGAGCTGAATTTAAAGGGAGGGTACACTTGTTTGGGAAACTGCTTCACCATTGATGTTTTGTGAAACTCTGAATTCCAGTCACAAGGAAACACACTTATAGTACTGTAATATTCAAACAGAAACACAAAGGCATACGTATATCTACATAAAAGAAACATAAATACACAAACACACAGATACTTGTCATTGGTGAGCTAGAAAACACTCTGTTCTCACTATATGGTAGTTTTATTGCATTTCAGACTACAATTCACATGGACATGTAATACTCTAGTCTATGTTTTATTGTAACAATGGCCAAACAAAATAACATTAGAAACCTCACCTACTATGTGGAGCCTACATTTTCTTTCTCAGGCCTATATATAAAATCTTTACTGATAAAAAGCAATGCACACATTCAAAAGAAGCAGTCAATCTCCCTGATCAGTTCCTCCATCTGGAGGTAAAATATTTATGTCATGTCGATTGCGAGATAACTGAGGAAAACATGTATTTCCTTGCTATCATTTGGATGCATTGCAGTCATTTGGTTGCAATTACACTGACTGAAAAAACCAAACATAATGCAATATTTATTGACCATTTCAATTACTATATATCACTGTTGACACTTCGTGGGACTGCTCAGCTTCATTTTTAACATTTCCTGTCATAAAACATTCAGTGGTCTCGCTCAACCACTTGAAATGCGTTTTACTTTGTGGTAACAAAACAAACATGATACAAGAAAAGAAAAATGTTTTTATGACTTGGAACTAAATTTGGTAATTTATAGTGTTTTGTTTATGCTGTAGGCCTCAAGTTACAATTTATGTTCAAATAAATAATTGGCAGAGATATGTAACCAAAAATATCTGATTAGATTTTACACTCTTATCACCTGGTTCTGAGCATCAGTTTAGTGCTCAGAACTATTTTAGACATTTCTTGAAGACTAATTATAAATGTATGTCTCCTGAGATTATTTATTTAGACCTGTAACAGCTTTGTCTGAGCTTTTCTTTTTATGTTAGTTGAAAATGAGATATGTAGTTCTTCTGTAGTCCTGCTGTTGTCATGGCGGTCATTTCATTTCCACTTCTGGCCAGGCAATGTCACCGCTGGTTTTGACGGGGAGCCGGGCGCCTGTTCAGGAACAATCAGCCAACATTAATCTCATAACCTGGTGACATGCTGTGACAGGTAATACTGCAGGGTCCAGTCTCTGGAACACCAACGGCATTTGTGAGGAGGCACTGTTGGCCAGAGGGATTAGAGAGATCATCCTCCAGAGTTATCGGAAGATATGACCAGACACATTAACCTGGATTTCTAAATTAATGCTGGGGGCAAAGGAAAGGGCATTATCAAAATGACTGCTGATCTTTTGTACCGGGTCACATTGGAGAAGATTAAACGGGGAACTGTATCAAAAGATGTCTGAAAACATCGTAACAGCATTTTTTTAGGTAAATGTAATATATTCCCACCCACTTGGAAGTTCTTTGGGTTTTATTGTTTTACAATAAATTAGAACTGTTTTTCACATTAAAGTGAATTTTCCTGTCAAAAAAGACACATTCAATTTAAGTTGACTGAATGCTGTAAAACAAAACACTTCGAGAAGGAAGTGAAATCCTTGTATACGCAGGGTTACAAATAATAGCTGTAAAAATGGCATGGTTGGATTTTTTTGTTCGTAAAAAGGTTGCCATAGTAACGCTTGCGGTCTTATGTCAGTCTTTAATGGTCTGGATGTAGAGAGAGAGGGGCAAGTTATGAAAGGAAAACCAGGAGTGCCACTAGAGAGAGAAGAGGAAGTGGATCACACGAGACAAAAGGAGACACCAACCACCAGAGCCAGTCCCTTTATTGTACACAACACCTCTTTATTGACTCTGCATCCTAAAATCAGTTCATGTTTAGTCAAATCAATTAATTGCTACAGAGGCACTTGACAAGGGTTTGCAAAACAAAAAGAAACAGGAGATTTGTACAGGTTGGTTTCCATCCCCTTCCACCAGATACAGACAGGGGGAGGGGGGAGGAAAAGGGAGGCAGGGCACATCCATTGGGAAGGAAGGCAGTATTAATACACCCTGATGTATTACAGGGCATTACAGTCTGGGCTTCCCAAGGGCAGGCTGATGTGACAGGCACAAAGGGCGCTTCAACAGACTTTGGCCAATAGGAAGTTTTATCACATGAACTAAGTGTGTTTTTTTGGGAAGAGTTTTCAATTTATAGATTTTGGTCTGTTTTACAAGCTTGTTTTCATCCTTTGGGCACTGTCACTGAAAGCCAGACCTGTCAAGAAATACAGGAGGAAGAAAAAGCACACTCTGTCTCAGGGTCTATATTTAGGATTCAATTTACAGTTTTGATGTCATGTTAGGTTAGGTTGGATAACTACAGCTTCTGTCGACAGAGTGTGCCCTCATTTTCCAAAACTCCCACCACCACTACTACTACTGATCAGACCTAAAACAGAAAACATCCTAGTAGCCCAACGTCACTCCCAGCTTGACCACCTACATTTGTTTTTAAAATGATCAAAAACTCAAAATGCAATCAATAGATAATTCATTCGCAAATAATCCCAGCTATGTGTCAAACCCCAGGTGCCCCCCCACCCCACCCCACCCCACCCCACCACATACAACGCATTTACACAGCTAATCCCTGTAGCAGAACCCTGAATAAAAGACCAGGAGAAGCTGGGGAGCCGAGTTGTGCAGAGCTGATACAATTGCAACCAAAAACATCAAATTAAAAGACAATGCCCAGGTTATAAATAATGCATCAGGAGATGACAGATCTCTTTTTACCAACAGCCATGCCTAATTTATTAGTGCTTCCTTTAAACCACTACAGTTGCATTTTAACAGTTTGGGATTTGATAAGAATTACAAGCATGTTTTTGTTATCAGCCCTGCGATTAAATGAAATACAAGTGCTAACTCCCCAGTATAGGCCAGCTATATACAATACTTTATTGCATGGAAGCAGAACTGATCGCAATAATAAATGTCCTTGACAGCTAAACCCGGAAAGAGATGTGCCAGCCCCTAAATGCTTAATACCATCTTTATTCTCTAAATCACGTCCTGGTACTACACACCCCACCGCTTCTCTGAGTTTGATCCTCTGAGAGGAAGCTGTTCTGTGTGCTCTGCTCTATATAAACCAGTTAATCCAGGAATGAACAAAGTCTACCCTGAAGGCTGAAGGTCTCATTGGGGTTCAACTGAGATTTAAAGGGATTATAATTCAAGGCTTTAAAAAGGTAGAATTACTGGAGACAAAAGCATCTCGCAAAGTGCAGACGGCCTTCAGCCTGTACGTCTCTCTCCTGCGTTTCCGTGCATAGTGTTCTGGTAACGGACTACAACATCCTGTAATGAGAAGTTTGCTGTAAGGCTACATGGCTAGAAGTGCTTGGATTATAATGGTCAATCTTTTCATTGTGGAAGTAAAAGTAAATCACAGAGGGAGGGGGGGGGCTGAAGCTACTCTCACACAACCCAGCCCCATTTCATGCTTTGCTTTTCTGTGATTTCATTTTTTAAAGCTACTTTTCTGATGGTCATAAAAACGACACTCAAATATAATAACAAAAGGGGCGAAGGGGAAATGCAATGTGCACCACCAAAATAACAACAGTGAAAATAAGCTATTGTTTTCAGTAGGAATCAGTTAGGAAATGAAAACCCAGTCCAACATTAACAACAGGTTAATGTGAATAATACACAGAGATCTAGAGCTGGGCGTTTCCAATCTAAAATGCTGAGGGAGGGGAGAAGAAAGCCAGCGTTTGACAGTTAATAAGTTACTTAATGAGCTTCTGCTGGGAACCTCGTCAGAAGAAATATACCAGTTATTGTAGTAAAAATAAGCTCCTAACTACTGAGGCTAAATGCATCCCACAGGTCAGCTGGGTTTCATTTAACACCATTTCCACAGCAGTCAAAAGTAATATTCAAGTGGTAAAGGGATTTCTGTCTTTCATGTGCACTGATAAAGATGGTATTAGCAGCTTTTTTACATTGCTTGAAGAGACATATTTGTACGGCTTGACGACACACATTATGCACCGCTATGAGTCAGCCCCTCCCCTCGAGCCCCCGCCCTTCAGTGTGCAGATTCACACACCCACACACAAACACACACTTGGCCACAGCTCTAGTCTAGCAGGGAGGGCTCAGCAGGGCGGATAATGGTGGGCCGGTGAGAAGGAGCCCCGGGAGGTCTTCGGCTGCAACGGGGAGAGAAGATACAACAAGGAGTGAGACGCGCTCACAAAGAGACAGTGGAGAAACCAAAACAACCCGACAGAGAAAACAGAGGGAGAAACAGAGTGAGAGGAGGAATAATTCAAAGATATATAATAATAATAAATGTTGAGATGGGACAACTTGTTGAGCTTGAGGAATGACAAACCATGCCTGTGACTCTTGGAAGACAGAGGATGATGCCGTTAGTGACATAATGTTACAAATGCATTTTAAAAAATAAATGTTTTTGACAATTGCATCATAACAGCAAATCTTACCTAGGTACACCAGGTGGGACGCGGGCGGGCCGGGAGGGGATCTGTGGGGGTGCGCTGAAGGGGTCTTGGTGGTTGTTGAAAGCGTTGATGGGTGGGCCCGGGCGCGAGGGGATGGGTGGAGCTCCGAAGGCGGGAGAGGGGTTGAGCGGCACTCCGAAGGCAGGGGAAGGGTTCATGGGTTGTCCCGGGGTGGGGCCACGTGCAGCGTGCGGACGGCTGGGGGCCGGGGCGGCTGCTGGGGGGGGTCTGCGCTGAGGGGTGGGGCTGAGGGAGAGATATGATTAAATCTCGCATAATAATAATCATATATATAATAAAGTACAAAAATACAACTAAAAAATTGTGCAAGAAGTCTATATACATGTAAATAGAATATGATATGTAAAATAACAGAATATGAAATTAAATAATGTACATTAAGACAAAATTAAATACGGTTTAAGGATCTAGAGCAGGGTGTCCAAACATTTTTCACGAGGGACACATACAGAAAAATATACGAAGGTCTGGGCCCCTCACTAGAGGTGAGGTATTTTGCCTCATATGCTAAGTTATACGTTTGCAAAATCAATCAAATGTAGCTAAATTAAGCTTGATACTTGAATATGCTGTAAGAAACACAACAGCCTAAATCTCAGCTCTCTATAGGGTTTCATTTATTTAGTTTGCAGCTCATGCCTTAAAACAGAAGCTTCAGATTGCTTATACAAAGATTTGTTATGCAAATAAGTGATTGGGCAAAAATCCTAAACCTAATATGAACTAAGATTAGTTTAAAAATGTTGCCAACTTTAATTGATTGAAGTTATTTGAAAAGTGGGCACACGTGAATACTGTGATATATATTTGTACATATATATTTAATTAGTACAATGTATGACAAGCGCAAGTTACATTTTTGGGCCATATTTCATTATACTATTTGAATTAGCTGAGAGCCGTTTCAAAATGGCCCCCGGGTGTGTTTGGACACCCCTAATCTAGAGCTAAATGCTAGTTAACCCTTATCTCACCTGGCGTCTTGGATCCAGTTGTTATTTGCGGGTGGGGGTACTGGGGTGGTGATGGTGCTGGTGCTGATGTCTCCGATAATGACCAGGGCCTCCTTGAGTGCGTGATACATGCGCAGCAATTCGTCTCTGCGCTGGGCCTGGTCAGCTGACTCCTCCATCAGGCTGTTCTGGTCCCCAGACGAGTAGAGGTAGGCCAGCAGCTCCGAGTGGATGAAGTCCTTCGCCTGAATGGAGATTAATAGTGTTAGAACAGAGGGGGGGGGGGGGGGGGGGGGGGGGGGGGGGGGGGGGCGCAACTCATGTCGTAAAAACTGAGCATTTTATTTACGACAACGGCGAGGGGATTAATGCATGGATTGGAGAGATTTGATCCTCAAAACTAAATATTAGAAAACCATGGGAAAGGAGCTGCAATGGTGGATGTGTTGGGTATGTGTGTGTGTGTGTGTGTGTGTGTGTGTGTGTGTGTGTGTGTGTGTGTGTGTGTGTGTGTGTGTGTGTGTGTGTGTGTGTAGCTGGTGGTTTGCTGGAAGCCATCAAGTGAGCTCACCACAATAATAAAACCTAATTAATGGACAGTGGACAAGTCAGTGTGAGCATACGCCGTAAATCCCGTTAATTAGTGTCTTCAAGTTTATGACCCTGTGAGCCCATGAAATGCATGAACACTGTTGCTATTAAAATGAACAAGGCAACGACACGATACTCTGCAGAGCTCTATGGTGCAATGAAATGTATACTTCATGAAGTAGTTCTTTGTTTGGTCTCAGATCAGTGGTTTATCAGGTGCCTTGATATCTTTTATGAAGAAAATAGGGATGTGGGATGCTACATCTGCTGGACTAGCAGCGTATTGGTCAGGATACATAGCTAATGGAAACCTCAGGGTTTATATAGTTTGTGAGAAAATCTTGCAAGATGGGCATCCTGTTGTTTGGGAGGATAGTCAACTGCTGCATTTTTCATAGCAAAAATCCTTAAGTATGGGAGGACACACTCACACACAACACATTTGCTGTGCTGTGCTGTACTGTACAAAAGGTGTGGTTATAAATGAATAGTATTTTTTTCTGTGCATTTAAGTGATAAATAGTGCACATCGTAATGGTAATAAACTCAGTAGATCTTTCTCATTGTTTTCCCAGATGTGCAGGCACTTGTGTGTGCTGCTGAGGACTGTTGGACTCACGCTGTTGATCATGAGATGCATGATGGTTTTGGGCACAAGGTCTCTGGTGGATTTATTGATGATGCCGATGTAAGAATCCACCAGGTTACGGATGGTTTCCACCTGTCGCTCCAACTGAGGGTCCATAGAGAATGTGTCTGCAGGAGCAGCGTCATCATTGTCCGTCTGACAACACACACGTCAAAATATATCAAAAAGACATCTTCATAGCTGCTGCAGTGTGTGTGTAATCATTCTCACTGCCACAGGAAGGAGACACATGTTCCTCACTCTAGGTTTAAAAACCATGTCAATTAATTTATAAAAACAGAAAGCCCCCTGTCCAACCCCCCCACACACCTGGTCCTTCTCCGGATAAACTCCAGCCCTGAGGAAAGAGGCTTTCCAGCTGTCCACATCCTCTTGAGAATCACATGCCAGTTCAACTTGGCGAAGATCCTTGTAGACGTTTCTGTACAGACAACATGAGGCTTTGAAAGGCTAATATAATAATACACAAGGACAAGCTTCATGCACACCAAAGTTAAGGCACATATGCATTCACAGGTTTTCATTTGCAACCTAAGTCTGACCTCTGTTCGGTGTTGAAGATTGCAAAGACGTGCTTCGTGGACATAAAGCCTTTCTCCACATCTCGGAGCTTCAGGTTATCGAGGGGCAGCATGTACTTCTTTTCTTTCTCCTAGCATGAGGTGGACAAAATATATGTTGAGCAAAACTGAAACCTGGAATATACAACACAAAGAAGTGACATCTCCTATAAGTGATACATTGTATATATTGTTATTGCAGATCTCCACCAATGAGTAGACATGATGGAATGCACTTTTGACTGTGTGGTGTGGACCACCACCAGGCTGGCGAGATGGAGAAAGGCATGATGGGGGAGAGGAGGAAGACGAGGAGCATGAGGGAATTCTGGGGGGGATGGGGTGCCAGCTTTCACTGTTGAGCAGAGACATCTGGAAGCATTTACATCTGCACAGAGCGCGGCGCAGGCCCAACAGTTACATCACTCATAGCTCCACACAATCCCCCACCCCCAACACACATGGTCCAATATTTAACTGCACGTGCAGAGACAAACAAACATATTGAACAAACATATATGGGAGTTCAGTGAGAGTAAAGACATGCATACACACATTGATGTCCAACCGCCTTAATATTAAAAGATTCAGGCAGACTGATGTGGACAAGCGCCTTCACACACGCACACTTGCACACACACAATCACCCCCCCCCCCCCCGGCCCCCGTAACCCAGTACGATTTCCTGCAAATTCCAAAGTCAGATCCCGGCTGGAACATTTCAGCCCGCCTGCCACGTCAGTTTGCCTCCACCATCCTCCCTCTCTTATTCTCTTTCTTTCTCTTCGCTTTCGCAAAAAGGCGAGCGACGCAAAATGCTCCGTGTCGGTTAGTGTTGGGACACACCGAGGCCACTGGACTCGAGGTCATCTTAACCCGTGGTTAATAGTGGTTTCTTTTAGTGGTCTTTTTATTCTGCTTTAAGAATGACACGGCCGAGGCCTTGGGAAGAAGGTAGAGCGGTGAGTAAAGAAATGCTATTGCACTTTAAACCACTGTTTTCAAATGTTAAATGTAGCCTTAAGTTAAACTGACCATTTGATTTAAATCATGTTAACTTAATCGATCTTTCATACACTATTTGAAAATGTCTATACTATAAATAATTTCAAAAAATGGTAGAGCCGAGTAAGCACATACTGTAGTTATTTAGCGAAGACGGAATGCAGCCAACCTTCTCTTGATTTGTTTTGCTTCAATTGGTTGAAAACATTGTGCAGGCTAGATTTGTTATATAAAGTTATTTTTGAGATATTAAACGTTTATTAACATAATAAGTATAACCATGATTCAGCAGTATGGCTCCAGGTACTATCAGTCACTTTCTATGTACGTGGCTTTTTCAAAATGTGCGATTGCTCCACTGGGCTAATGTTTGCTCTCTGTGCCCTCTGTCCGACTGTCCTAGGGTAGCGACCTGCAGCTGCAATGACCTCGGGGTCTTTCCTCCCATCAGAGTTATCCTAACCCCCCCGCCTGCCCAGTGTTCAGACTACCTGTTCATCAGGCTACAGCTGAACAGTAGTCTGCACATTGGTTAGGCTGGGCTGGGACGCACACACCTCCAGCCGCCAAATCGCCACCTTGGAAAATGTATTCTAATTCTGCTACATCTTCATCTGTATGCATTATTTATCACGTCACCTTGTCTGAACTATCTTTATTATCTCCAGTGGAACACAGAAAGTCCTCTCACCTCCTCGTCTTTGTACCAGGACAGGGACTCTGCAGTCAGGATAAACCAGTACTCCTTGGAGCCTCCCTTCATGATGCTGATGTTAATGGTTAGCCAGCCTTTCCTGATCACCTACACAGGGAGGAGACGATATAGGGGAGAGCAAAGGGTGATGGGGGGGAGAGGGACAACAGGAGGGCGAAGGAAAACAGCTTTATCAATCAAGTTTATTCATTGGTGACATAAGGGCCCCATAGGTGTACTGGGATGTGACTGACACTAATAAAACCTTACCTTCTTACCTGCTGGCTCACTGTATACGTGGTATTACTTTATCTTATTGTCTTAATATTCAACATGTAATGTGTCTATGAGTCTAGTATTAATTAAACATGCATATCATAGTGAAGATTAAATGGAGAAATGATTGAGTAAACGGCATGGAGTGATCAAAGGGACAGTAATGCATGCAGAGTAATACATACTGTGTGTTACATTGCTAAATGTATACAAAAAGGAACAAATTGTTTGATTGAAGATCCTAAAATGTGGTTATTTTTCGACAGAAAATAAATCTTTAAACAAACAAACAAACCGGACCAGATGGTGTCCAGAGCCTCAACTCAGAGTCAAAGAGCAAAGGTCGACGGTGGTATGTTGGTGTCAGCGGGTCAGTTAGAGCTAGGCTATGTATTAGTTGTTTTTAAAAAAACATGAATTACTTTTAAAGCTAGACTATGTATTAGTTGTTTTCTAAAAAGCAGCATTAGTGGGGTTAACAGGACAACTGTTTCAGTAAAAATGAGGAGAAAGGAGTGCAGAAGAATGGGGTAAAGTAATATAGAGAGATGGCTAGTTAGATAATCTCCCAGACTTAATAAAGAGACATAAAGTGAAACGATAAAATGGGAGATGGAGGCAGGAAATACACCAGACTAAGAGGCCGAGTTCAGAGCATAGGCCATGCAGGAGCCCTTTTAGCTCTGTGCCTCCATTTTCTCCCCACATACACCACCATGTACTTAAAGTACAATATGTCTATCTGTGTTCTACTGCTAAGAGAAAAGTATGTTATTCTTCTGCACTCCCTCTCCATCCAGCAGAGGACTAGGGTGAGTGATGGCGTTAAAACATGTTAATTAGTTCAAACAGCAACATAAACATGAGGAGGAAATAACATATTAGATATGCAGGGGAAAAACTACGTTAAAGTTTTAAATCCACTTTGTTAAAGTCAGAGGGAAATGTTAAACCAATTGACATTAAGAAAGAGGAGATAATGAGATGCTTTAGTTTGAATACTTTTTGCTAGTAGATGACAACTGCCAAGATGGTTGTAGATGTATGTGTCACACGTATTTGTTTAAGGTGTACGATGACTTCTGAGATGAACTCCAAAGGAAAACAACATTTGAATGATTACAATGAAACGAGCCCATTGAAATCATTGGAATGTATCCCAAAGCCATGACCAGTCCCCATACGACATTACAAACTAATTTGATTCCCTCTAAATACAGAAATACTCATTAGGAACGTGGAGACTGGTGGGTTTTTGGATATGTATGTCGTTTTAGAGGGAAATGGTTTTTACACACATTTACTTTAAAAAGAAATCATTGGAAATTAATGCAAAGAAGATTTCAAAGAATCCCCCCCCCCCCCCCCCCCCCCATCCCTCGCCGTTTCGACCCCAGCGATGTTAGGGATGAGTCTCACGAGGCACACTTTCACAATGCACGAGGCAGCAGCAGAGGTATAAACCCTAAGACATGAGAACTGACGCCACTCCACGGTCAGTGATGGAGGATTTCTCTCTGAGGTCCTTAACAGGAAACACAAAGCATTGCCAAGTGCAACAATCTCTTGGAATTATAATGTCCTGTTTAAAAATATTTGGTGGAGAAAAAGTTAAATGTTAGTAGCAACCCAGATGTGTCCAATTAAAGACAATTACTGTCTTAATAAAAGAAACCAAAAATTACGAGTGAACCTGCCGTGTGTTACTGTTTAGTCAGTTCCAAATTACTGGTAACTGCGAGCTAAAGCTAGAATTGATGTTGATATGAATTTCCTCTGGAGACTCTACCTTCTCCTCTTGGACCTCTCCTAGTACGCCAAGCTGCAGAGGGGTAAAACAACTCATTATGGTGAGGTATACATTCCTGTATGTGCAGGAAGCCGTTTGTCCAGTTGTCTCTCAGCATTCTGTCTTCTCCACCCTAACCATACTGGCTGACCTGTGTGTTGGCCTCAGTCTCCTGCATGGCCTACCCCTGCTGCCCCCGGCAGAGCGCGGTTAGAATATTTCGGGTACTTACCAGAATCTCACCCTGCCGTTAAAAGGAAGGTGAGGGAAAATTCAAGCAAAGGGGGGCAGGCAAAGATAAGGAAGAGATGAGAGATGGGAGGAGAGGGAAAAGGGAGCAAGTGGAGAGTTGGAAGGAGAGAGGAAAAAGGGGAAGTAGAGAAAAAGAGGTCAAGATAAGGATGGAAAAAAGGGGTAAGGAATGATATGTTTGAGGGGAGCGAAAAAAAGGAGGAAACAGAAAACAGTAATCCAAGATGGTGGAGGCAGGAGAGAAAAGAGAGAGAGAGACAGAGAGACAGAGCAAGAGAGTTACATGCAATTAGAATTACTTCAGGGATACAAACATTTGGTTATGTCATTTGTTGCTCAGTTGATCGATGCAGTGTCCATGCAGATTCTGAATCTCCATTCAAAAGATGCTTGTGGGTTAATGGCCAGGCAACAAAACAACCAACAGCATCCTGTGATTACGTTTTTGCTTCGCAGTAGAACAACATGCCTGGGTCAGATGCAAACAGCAATTAATATAGTCGTGGGAAAAAAACTGCTTGAAGGAGGGAAGCTGCGTCTTCTTTCACTTCATTAAAGAAACCCTCCCCTCACTGAAACTAGAATCTCTAACGCTGGTTAGCCGTCTCAAAATCATGTTTCAGGATCTTAGCAACACACATCGAAATTCAACATACTTTAATATCAGTCTGTATAAAACAGAAAAGAAGAAGTACCAGCTGTGTGGACAAGCCCGTTCCATGAGGATTAGAAATAAAAGGCACTGGCATTAATCAGTAGTTAAAATGATTAACAGTGGAGGTATCTTTAACAGTTTGATAGGTTGCGATAGATTAATGGCGATGAGCTTAATCACTTCTGAAGTGAGATATATTCACATGGGTGACTAATAGGCTGGTAATGGGAGACATCAGTCAAGGTAGATTAAAACTGGGATTGGTGAAAAGGCCAGAGCCGGGTGATAGGACTTACCTGGTTGGGTATGGGCCTCTTCTTGTTTGCAGCTGTGTTTCTCTGCTGGGCGCTGTCATTACACACAGATGGACAGAAAAGACAATAAATATGATTGATGAAAGCACAACCCGTCTCAAGTTATTTAAAAATATATACAAGGCGTGCACAAAATAGATTTTTTTTCTTGCAACACTTATCTGCGTCTCATGAGTGATAATGACCAGATAACCAATAATTTCACATTGGTGTATTTAAAAAAAAAGTGAATAACCTGTATATAAGCCACGCCTGGGGGGGAGAAAGACTAAGGTGTCGTGACCAAAGATGGAGGATTTCATGTTTCAAAGCCGAGACAAAATTATACTTTTTTTTTTTTAAACGCAACAAAAACAATTCAGACTCTTCCAATGTACATTTATTTGGTTTAATATGTACATAAATGTCTTGTCTTCCTGTGACATTGTCAAAAACATCCAGACTGACAATGACATATTTGACTCTATTAGGCATGCTGTTCTTGTTCTTCTACTGTGTGTTTCCTGGTAGACTGGATAGCATAATTCATAATTGGAATAAATGACCGCTGGGCCGATGTATATCTTAAAATCCCTAATATATACAGCTACACACATACATACAGGAAGTTGAACATTGCCCGCAGAAGATTTCTAACAACATGGAGAGTCAAAGTGTCCCTCTCACTCACACACCACCCTACATGCCTTCAGTTAGCCCACCTGTTGCTGCTGAACCCTGGGGGGCTACCATCATCCAGCCTTCTGTAGTCAAGACTGAAAGTGACGTCATGAGAACCGTTAAACAGCCCTGGCTAACCTCCAACACATTACTGCAATCCGCTCGCCATGCAGAGGCTAGCATGAACCCGCACACATACAAGCGGCTTCCTTTGTTACCCAGTCACCGGCACGACCCACGCAGGGGGGGGGGGGGGGGGGAACTACATGCTACTGCACTAGACTACGAGAATGCAAGCACAAAGTCTAAACCGCTCAGAGATATACCACAAAAACAGTGCTTTACAGTGTTTCAAGTGCACACCAGCAGCTATCAGCAAATGCAGTAAAACATCAACACTCTCCATTGTACAGTACGCATTCTTCATCATGGCGGTCACACAGTCGGCAGCAGACAGGAAGTTTATCAGGCAAGTAATCGAGCATGACATGATGGCTTTGTTTAGAGGAGTATTATTGTTACATGCGAAAAGGGGGGGAGAGGTGGGCAACTAATGTGACCTTTATCATTATGGCATCCACATCCCCAAGGGAGCCTCATGCTCTGATGTGGCTGGACGACTAATTAGCATACTACATCACACTGTAGCACGGCTGCTTACAACATGTGGCTAATTATAAGCAACACTTTGATTCAGAAGAAGTGATGCCGTGGGGAACCTGTTTGGTTTCTGAATCAGCAGCTGGGTTCCACATGTATTTGTGGCTAGTAGTAGTGACATGATAACAGCTCTTTTCCTTTCTAAATATACAGAATCACAAGTGCACTTCAGACAACGGGCAAACCGGAGTTAATCGGATTCACGATGCCTGTACTGAGACTTCAGGTTCTGGAAACACGCTGCAAGTTGAACTAAAGAAGGCGGGTGTACATACTTAGCAAAGCCTATGAAGTCCTCATGATTGGTGTTGATGTAGGACAGCTCAATGTCAATCAGCAGCAGAACCTTGATTAGAGACCAGAAAATCATGATTAGGATGGAGCTCTCACTTAAACGTCACTTACAGTAAGAGAGAGCAAGTTCACACGACTAATACAACTTAAGATACATGCATAGCTATACCAATATAGACTGATATTCCCATATATATATATATTTTTTTTTTTTTTTTTTATTTATTTTTTTTTTTAAATTGCAGATGAGAATATGATTTATTCTATAAATCTCAGTTTATAATCCCTACGAATCTACCTGCCTGCCTTATTTTTGGTTTAAATAATGAGTTCTAGAAAAATGCTTTCAAAATGTTAATTTAGATATTTAAATGTGT